GAATTTAGAGAATAGAGTGATTATTTTTAGAGAAAATTTGGTACAAGTGATCGTCAAGAAGAGTTAGTGATTTGCGTCCCATAAAAATAATTTACATTTTATTTAATTACAATACTTTAAAAATGCATTGAGAATTCTGAAGTAGACATCGATTTAAGCATTTGAAGAAATATATAAAATAAAGCATATCTATTTTTTTTTTTAACATACTATATATCTTAAAAGTTTCAAAAAATGTCTAACTCGGCTAAAGCATACCATGACTATTTGGTAGCTCAAAAAAAATTTAAAGCAGAAGAAGTCAAATATCAGCTTATTTTATTAAAGTTATTTCAAACTGTTGCTGCTTCTTCAGACTATAATGATGCTTTTATGATGTATGAAAAATAAAAGATGAAGGAAATGATGATTTTAAACGTCAAATTAAATTTAAAATGGGCTACACTTACTTGCTAGGGTTGGTTGTTATAAAAATATTGCAGAAGGTTGCAAGTTTATTATTGAAGCTAGACATTTTAGCCTTTCTGATGCAATAAGATAGTCAAAATATCATGGAAAAAAAGATGATTATGGTGCAGGAGAGGTATCCAGAATATTTTTTAGATAACCATTTATGTGAAACATTTTTAATTGAGTATTTGTATTAACTTTTATAATATTTGATATATAATTAAATAATATATTTACAAAAAAATTTAATTCAACTAGGTGTTTCTACTGTGAGCCTTATAATCCATATTCCCTTAGCATTCACGCCTTTCCCTCATCTGATATTAATTTTTTATCAAGAGATACCATTTCTATTTTACATGATTATGATAATACCTATTTGCTTCATATTTATACTTATATATCAGAATTAGAAAACCAAATTAAGTTTCTTGAATTTTTGATATATAAGCAAATAATAAATTCAATCATGTATACTAATTATACTAGTATTGGTTAAATAATCATCAAAAATTTTCTTTATAACACATTTATTACAAGTACTTATTCATTGACGTTAGCTTAAATTTTACAATGCATTGGTTTTGTTAAAACTTTTTTTTATTTTGCTTTACATAAAAATTTTAAAACCATATAGTGCATTGTACTTAATATTTTATAAAACTTATTTATTATAATAGCAAAAATATTATATACTAAAAAATTTTCTGCAATAATATTAATAATGAATAAGATTGTTAATTATGAAAAATTGGTATGGCGACTTAGTTAAGTGGTGAAGTTGTCATACCCCCAAGCGGTTGAGTACAAGTTCAATTCCCACTGGAGACGAAAATTGAATTTTGAA